TTTGGTGAGGGTCGCTCATTGAGCAAAGATGGGCGCTCTGGATATCGCGCTGTATGTCTTGAACAAGCCGTCCTACACTTCAGATGCAACTCTCGATAAAAATAATCAATTCAAATTTGGTACTGGGAGTGGGAGTGTTTGTGTGTGTGTGGGGGAGGAGAGATCCTAGGTAGTGCCCCATAGCCCCTTGAATGCGACTTGTGTACACCCCGTGTGTACCCGCAACGCTCTCGTCTTGATGCACATTTTGAAACGATCGGTTTGAGCACGAAGCACCAATCGATGTAAATGCGAAGGCTTGGTTGTAAGGGTGGCACGGAGCACGATCGAGTTGAGGATATGGTGCTATCGCTGATAGAGCAGCGTGTACCCGACATACAGATTACAGCCATTTTTGGGGTAGGTGGGTCAATGATAGCACGTATCAAAACAGTGACGAAGAATGGGATAAACTCTTTACACACTAGAAGAGTTCCTGATCGCCCCAGTCACGCGTATACAGAGGCGGATGTTGATTGTTTTTTTCTGGGGGTATGCAACGAATGGGAACTCGAAGATGGTTTACCTTGTTTCCATCGTCGTGTGCGCCAATACTTAGTAGAGCCTGGCTTGAGTTAGAAAACGCTGTGGGGCCGATACAAAAAGAACACAGAAGGTCATTCTCGTCGAGTAATGGGGTATACTCGCTAGCTTCAATATGTTCATTTGAAATTCCCGGGTGTCAGACTACCACGGACAAAAGAAGATTTATGCGACGCCTGCGTACGAAATGAGACCCAATTACTGAATCCAAATATTTCTGAGTCGAGTCGAGCAGAGCTTGTGGCTGAAAAGGAAATGCATTTAGATGCAGCAATTATTCAGAGACGTGTGATATCTGCTTTTGTTAAGCAACACGCTGTTAACAAAGCTCCACAACAGGCGCTATCAGCAGAAATAATCCCTGATCACGGAGAAGAGCCACTAACTACACAATCGGTCATTCACACAAGTATCCCATTAATGCAAGTGCAGATTGAAGATTTCGGTGGCAGTTTCCCGCTTCCAATAAACAACAGCAAGCGGCCTTCTGTTGACGACTTCAATTCTAACCTGATGATGCACAATTTCGTGATGGCAGATATCACAAATGGAGTAAACAATGTTCTGTTGTATGACGAACGAGTTCAAGGTAAAGGTGCGGATGCTATGTGTTACTTGCGCCTACTTCGTTACCTCAAGTACAGAAAACAATATCATCAGGCTGGACACGACGAAACAGAAAATTATCTCACTCTTTTCCGGACTATTGACAATTGCGTTGGCCAAAACAAGTCTAGTTCGGTTTTCAGATATTTCCTATGCGGTCCATTGTGTTTTACAAGAAGGGATCTCTCCCGTTTCTCCTTCCTGGTCATTCACACAACCCTGCCGACCGTGTTGTGGCGTGGTGCCGTAGCAAAATGAAAGGTGTTAGCTTGTACTCTCCTACACACATTGTTAGCAAGTTAAATGAGACAAATGCCGTGCGAGCTGAACTTCTCGACCACCGAAACCCCGGGAGACCTTTTTTTCTGTGGATGAGAGCCCTTTCTATTTAAATACTTTAAAGGGATGCCAGCAAAGTACACTGGTAATCAGGGAACCCGAAAATATAATTTATATCAATTTCAAAGGACATCGAGAAATACATAACGCGCGGCAACCTAAGAACTCAGCAAATAAATAATTGGAGCGGGGACATTGCAAGCGTAAATTATTAGTGAAATAAACTACCAAGCCTGGGTGAAGCCGCCTAAATGCAAGCATCCACGGTGGTGAAAGAAGATAGTAGGCTTTGTTGGGGTGTTCCTGAAGTTGCAGAATGAGCTAGAATATGCGATTCGGAGAAGTCGAGGGGCTCCAAACCAACCACAAACTGTTGGTAGTTGTTGTCCGGGAAAATAAATGTTGGGTCGTCGTACACCAACTTCGTAAATACATATTTTGCTGAAGCCTTTTTCGTAAATAAATTATTGAGAAAAACAATAAACAGTAATTGGCAATAAATATATTTATCGGGTTCCCTGCTGGTAATTATTTCTTTGAGTCCGACTACGGAGTAGTAGCGATGCGGCACTTAATTTCAACTCCTGACTCTTGTGCGGATACGCTGACTTTGATAGGCGATGGGGATTATCTCACCATTTGGGGAGCATTTCTAAATATCTATTTGAGGCCGGATACGACATTGATACAGCTGCTATGGCAAATGTCCGCTTGCAGAGATAACCTTTGATCGAGTTGACAATGAAAACGTTAAAGTCGCTGTCACTGAAGTATATTACGATTCCTGCCGAGTTTTTATCGCATTATCCTAGCGAAACAGTGCCCCCGAGCAAAGCGGAAACTGACACCCCATATCCAAAGGCAACTGCAAGGAGAAAACAGGCTGTTGGTGCTGCTATCCCCACAAAGCGACAAGTCGGACGACCTCGGAATCAACAACTTTCGGTAGCGAGCCAGCATCCATCTATTCTGTCGTTCTTCAAACCTCTGCAACACAAGCAATCCCAAGGGACTACACCGGGTCCAACGCAGCTCTCAGCTACCACACACACTGCAAAGGCTAACATAAACGACTGCAACGCGATTGATTAGCAGCAAGACAGCTACGAACAGCCCGCTCTCAACGTGAGTTCGACAGCACGTCCGAATACTACAGCGACCACATTTGGATGAAGGACTTGGAGATTAGTGGCCGCGAGGGTGCGACAGACGTGGATTCGACTTGAGTGTTTTACAAACACTCAAATAATACATATGCATTACGACAGTATAGTTCATGTCCGGGTCGTTGTGGTAGCCCGGCCAACTGTTCCATATGGTAGGATATGAAGTTTCATCGGACTTCACTTAAATTTTGAATTGATATCTTACAGCCACTGAGATAATTTTGTTGTAGTACTAACCAATAGCTTTCAAAATGATAATGTTATTCAACCAATCAAATTTGAATAGGGGTAGGTGAGTTCTCTACGCCAGCCGATACGTCCGATCGATACGCAAAATATATGTATGTCTATCCAAACGCTAAGTCATTGACATATCACTTGCATACTTTGCTTTTATGGGGCCAGTGGATTAGTGGCATGGACTTAGACGAGCTACAGTCTGGTAACACCTTGCAGGCTAAGGAAACAACCATCGGTGAGTTCGTCAAAAAATTTTAAGGAGAATAAGCTGAACAGGAATACATAAGGAAGTGCATTGATATTGACGAGACCGGAAAAATGTATAAGGACACTAGACAGCTTCTGTCTGAAGCGAGAGGGTGGTGGGCTCGTAGCGAAGACATCACCTGGTACGAAAGATAATTTGAAAAGAATGATGATGTATTTGTACACTTATGCTAGCTCATAAAGTGACTATCAAGATGCAATTTTGCGATGTCCTCCCTTGTACTTGTTCGGCCGCGCGTCTGACCTAGCCATGGTCCGCAAACAAAACATGTCAGTGGAGGCAGGTGACGCCTTCTTAATGCGCTTGATTCACATGAAGACGTCGCAGGAGCAGGGGCTGTCGCTCTCTTCCGACGTCTCGCTGATCGAGCTGCTGAGCGCTCCGCAAGTCATTACTGGTTTTACCGCTCCAGCAGCGCCGCCGCGCGTTGCCACGGCCCCTACAGTATACGCGCACGTTAAACGGGTGCTAGACCGTGTGGCGCCTGCCGATGGTGTGGATGTCGCCTTGACATCGCACTCGCTTCGAAGAGGAGGCGCTCAGCATGCAAACGGCTGCGACGAGATGACTGCACACCGAATCTTGGACAAAGACTCCTGGAATCCAAGCATGACGAACGAAGGGCTCTATAATTTTTTAATACAAGCAATGAAAACCACAACATAGCGAAAGTACTCAGATACAAACCCAAAACCGCGGTGCTGCTGCAAGACTTGACTCACTTTGACATGCAGATGCGTGAAGCGATGGATCGGGTGCAGCCGGTCCTGTTTGATGTCTGCTTTCAGCTCAAGACCGACAGTCTCAACATTAATAAGAAGGTAATCGATGTCCTCCCTGCACGCATCTTCCTTCACTTCCCGCTACTCAAAGACCTGATCCCCACAAGTCTAGCTGTGAAGCGCATCGTAGCGGCTGTTGCTCACACTGAATGCTCACCAGCCGAGTTGCTTGCATCGTCCTCGTACCTGACAGCTTCATCCACTACCTATGAAGGCGCCAAGACACGTAAGGCACCCACCCACAGCGACGATGAGCAGCCAAGAGAACCAAGCGAGAACCAGAAGACCAGTGACCACCAAGCGGCTGTGATTTAGCACTTTATCGAGCACATCAAGCGGCAGGACCCTCACATAGATGCACTCGAAGCTAAGCAAAACAGCGAATCTACACCAAGAAAATGAAGCTGTCCACATGAATACCCAGATGAAGTTCGCACGCTAAGCAAAAAACAACGCCAGGGATCTCCAGCTCACCTCCATGCTACGTGGTTTGCGTGGTACGCTCAAGATTCACGCTGGTACGCACTGGCGCAAAAACAAAAGCGGTCGAGAGCGAAGCTGCTGGTGGTCTTCATATAGATTGTTTTTGAAGACGGTTTTGTTCGACACCAAGAGGCTGACGACTATCGTGACTGTGGTCTTCAGTTGGGCCAGAACAGAGAAAACCGTACTTGCCTTCCTGAACGGCGAGAAAGATATCAGCTCGCGTGGGTCGAGCGCCGTCATTAAGCACTTGCAGGCTCTTCACAGCAAAAGAGACCTAAACGACAGAATTAAGCGCCACCAAAAAAAACCTCCAGTCTGGAGCCGTTCGCGACCCCGCTCCTGGCTACACCCAAGACGTTTTAAAAGTCAAGGATTAGCAACAGGAACGAAGAGCTAGCAAATTCATCACACACATTTGCCATAACGTACACAGCCTAACCACATATTACTTTACTCAGATACCTAAGCAGGTAGAGCACCACGCCTTCAGCCGCTTGCCCGTGATGAGCCTACACCCCGCAATCAAAAAGATGGCGACGGCTGGATTCGAATTAGCAGCCCCAAGGCACAGCCCTGTGCTCTTCCACTTAGCTACGCCATCGTTGGGTGAGGGGGTGGGGTGGGGTAAGGAGTGGGGGGGGCTGTGGAGCGATTCTTGATTGGCCGAACGCTTGAGCTGTGGAGCTCGAGCGGTCGAGCTAGAGGCCTGTGTAGTTGGACAATAAACAAGCCTGAGCGTAGAGGCCTCGTTGTCGGGGCCAGTTTTGTGTGTTTTGAGCTCTGCTAGGCTGTGTGCCACAGGTTGGGTGCGAGTCTAAACAGATTTAGATGGTAGGTTAGGATTGGTGAAAATCGACCAATAAGGGCGTACATCGGTAACTGGCGATCGCATACAAAATTGAAGTGTGCGTCGTCGATCCATACCAAGTCATCATCATTACTACCTGGTAAAAAGCTAGCTTCTAAGTTGTAGTCAGAAAAATTGAATTCATAGGCCATGTATTCGGATTCTACATGTGACAATTTAAACTGTCTAGGCACATAAATCAAATCAACGTCTCGCATTTCCACGTCTACATCAGCGGCTCCCTTATGTGTTCTACCTTTCCTACTAGCCTGACTTCGATCACTGTCACTAATTCAAGTATCAGCCTCATTCGTAGTCTTTCCAGCGTGTACGTCTGGTGGTTGTATGGTATCCTCTTGTTTTGCGAATACTCCATAGCTTTGAGTGTCGTCATCGCGATCACTGAATGTCGTATTGATTTTCCTTGAGCTCATTTCGATAGCAGGGAAGTCTGGAACAGCGAAGTAACTCGTCGAAAGTCGAGCACTACGTAGTAGCACGCAGTACACTCCTGAACACAATTATTCGGCCACCTCGTCTAGGGCCCATAACTCAGTCATTTTTTTATTATTTGATGGTGCGGTTTTCACACAAGTTGCAAAACATGCTTTGAAATAGCAAGGACGTCCTAACGCTCGCATTTTCTTGCACTTTATAGGGAGGCTCACATAGAAAAAAGAGGTTTGTCAAGGTGGTCACAATTTACGGCCAGTTCAGTATCCCTGTACAGTTCGTTGAGAGATCTGTACAGATTATGTATATATGATTTGTAGTGGCGAAATGCGAGCGAATGCCAGTGCAGTTAATTTGTACAAAATGTCAGTGCAGTAAGCAAGTAAGTTGGGTCATGCAGTAATGGAGCTAGAACAAACACAGCAACCGCTGCAATTGCCTCATCGTATCTTAAAACTAGCTGGTATCTATCTAGTAAATTGGCTTGCGGACTTTTGGTAGCAGTTCGGTAACCATTTAATCTGTCTAGCCAGCATCCAGCTCTCTTCTGATGAAACACGATCACTTCTTTTTATCTTTTTTTACTTAACAAAAAGACCGTTCTACAGATCTAGCTAATTTTCAACCAAGCTAGATTTGCCCCTGCAAAACGGCCTTAATTTCTAAGGATTGTGAGATCCATTTATGTACGATTAAGGGCCAAATTAAGCTCGATTTGAGCTGATTCAAAATAGCAGGATGAAAACTGCAAATGTCCA